CCCTGGAGCTGCTGAAGTTTTGGGCTTTTTCCCCCCCCTCCTTTCTTTTGCATCTCTGACAACTTTTCCACAGGCTGCTCCTCTTCCTTCTCCTTCTGAAGGAGAAATGAAACACTGAGCTCCTTTGAAAGCGGGATTGAAGAGTTTCAAAGTACAACGGAGTTATTGTTATGCAAATGACGAGCCGGGTTCTTTCCTGCGGCCAGGGAATATTAATTCCTGTCCCTGAGCACTGCAGCCCTTTCACAATTCCCAAACCACATTTGGATGAGGGTAATTCTGGGGTACCACGGCCTCGTGAGCCTCTTGCAGTGACACACCTGCTGCAAGAGGGAATTACCAAGGCGTGATTGTTGTCCGAGATAAAAAAAGGAACAGTTATATCTGGATAAGGAGGTTCTGTAGATGGAATAAACTAAAAGCTTCATGGGTTTTCTGTTTAGTTCATTAATTCCTCAAGCTGACAATTTTTGCATCAGTCAGAGGCGGCGGAAGGAGTGAAAAGGGAAGAGAAGACAACTCCCTGTTGGAAGGGAATGGGGTGGCCCAGTAACACAACCTTCCCTCCCTCTGGAAGTGCTCAGGCCTGGATTTTTTGTCTCTCCTGCAGGACTCCCATCACACAGACCATGGGATCCCACCAGCAGAAGGGCGACGGCCAAGGGATGTCCGAGCAGTCCGGAGGGTGCCACGGCGGCGGCTGCGGCTGCTGCTGCCACCATGGAGGAGGTGGAGGAGGAGGAGGAGGATGCTGCCACGGTGGAGGAGGATACCAGAGCCAGGGATCGTCCTGCCACGGTGGAGGAGGAGGAGGAGGAGGCTGCTGCGGCGGTGGCGGTGGCAGCGGTGGCGGTGGTGGGATCATTTATCAGACTCACATGGCATCGACCTCCTGTGGAGGTGGAGGAGGAGGAGGAGGTGGAGGAGGAGGAGGCGGCCAACAAAGCCAAGGATCCATCTGCATTATTGGAGGAGGAGGAGGAGGAGGAGGAGGTGGTGGTGGTGGGCAACAAAGCCAAGGTCCCATCATTATTGGAGGGGGTGGAGGTGGCGGAGGAGGAGGTTCTGACCACCAGAGCCATGTACCCATCTGCATCGGAGGGGGAGGAGGAGGTGGTGGAGGTGGTGGCCAGCAAAGCCAAGGTCCCATCTGCATAGATGGAGGTGGTGGTGGTGGTGGTGGTGGAGGTGGTGGCCAGCAGGGCAAAGGAATCATCATTATTGGTGGAGGCAGCGGTGGAGGTGGAGGTGGCGGTGGCGGTGGTCACCAGGGCCAAGGTCCCATCTGCATTGGAGGTGGCAGTGGAGGAGGAGGAGGTGGTGGTGGGCAACAAAGCCAAGGTCCCATCATCATTAGTGGAGGAGGTGGTGGTGGAGGAGGCTCAGGGCAGCAAAGCCAAGGTCCCATCTGCATTGGTGGGGGTGGCAAGGGAGGAGGAGGAGGAGGAGGAGGAGGTGGTGGTGGCCAAGGTCCCATCATCATCAGTGGAGGAGGTGGTGGTGGTGGCAAGGGAGGAGGAGGAGGAGGTGGAGGAGGAGGAGGAGGTGGATGTGGTGGTGGTGGCCAAGGTCCCATCATCATCAGTGGAGGAGGTGGTGGTGGTGGCAAGGGAGGAGGAGGAGGAGGTGGAGGAGGAGGTGGATGTGGTGGTGGTGGCCAAGGTCCCATCATCATCAGTGGAGGAGGTGGTGGTGGCAAGGGAGGAGGTGGAGGAGGAGGTGGAGGAAGTTCAGGACAGCAGGGCCAAGGTCCCATCTGCATTGGAGGTGGCATGGGAGGAGGAGGAGGTGGTGGTGGTGGTCAGCAAAGCCAAGGTCCTATCGTTATTAGTGGTGGTGGTGGAGGTGGTGGCTCAAGCCACCAAGGCCAAGGTCCCATCTGCATCGGAGGTGGCATGGGAGGAGGAGGAGGAGGTGGAGGAGGCTCAGGCCACCAGGGCCAAGGTCCCATCATCATTAGTGGTGGTGGTGGAGGAGGAGGAGGTTCAGGGCACCAGGGTCAAGGTCCCATCTGCATCGGAGGTGGCATGGGAGGAGGAGGAGGAGGAGGAGGTGGAGGAGGCTCAGGCCACCAGGGCCAAGGTCCCATCATCATTAGTGGAGGAGGAGGAGGAGGTGGCTCAGGGCAGCAAAGCCAAGGCCCCGTGTGCATTGGGGGAGGCAGTGGAGGAGGAGGAGGAGGAGGAGGCTCAGGCCACCAGGGCCAAGGTCCCATCATCATTAGTGGAGGAGGAGGAGGAGGTGGCTCAGGGCAGCAAAGCCAAGGCCCCGTGTGCATTGGGGGAGGCAGTGGAGGAGGAGGAGGAGGCTCAGGCCACCAGGGCCAAGGTCCCGTGGTCATCATCGGCGGTGGTGGTGGAGGTGGAGGTGGCTCCTCCAGCTCTGGAGGAATGTCCATGCAGCAGCAGACCCAGCCCATCTGCTGGCCACCGCAGACCAAGCGCAAGTAGTGGCTGCCAGAAGGACTCTGCCACCAAGGAAACCCAGGAGATGAAGATGCCTGACATTTCCTCATCTATTCAGTTGAAGATTATTTGTGTTGTTCTCTTCTCCCTTCCCCTGGGAATGTTCTGACCGGAACCTCTGGTGTTGTGCATCCATAATTCCAGCCAGGGCTGTTCCGTGTCCCTGTTCCTGCCCCCAGTTTTCAAGTGCATGCACCAGAAAATAAAACTTGCAGTTCTAGAGAGTTCCGTGTGTGAGTGGTTGGATTTTCTGGCCCCGGTTGCTTTATTTCCATCCCTGGTTGGAAATAAACTCTATTTATCATCCCTTTATTTCCATCCCTGGTTTGATTCCAGTGCTGTTGCACTGAAACCCCACTGGTAGAAGAGATTTTGGATTCACTAAACATTCTCAGGTCATTTTTTAATGTCTCTTGATGATGATGATGATGATGATGATGATGATCCTGACTTTTGCCTGTCAGAGAAGGTACCACAGAATTTATCACTGGGGTATCTCTACCTCACCAAAATCCTGGTGATGCCCAAGAAAGTTCTGAGTGGGTTCAGAGAGAGAAGATGACAAAATTCAGCTATGAAGGATTTTGAGATGTAATTGAGGGGTGAGAGGAGCTCAGGCCCATCCTGAGGTGGTGCAGAAGCTCCTGGTGCTTTCACAAATGGGAGAGAAATGAAGTTCTCCAACACTTTTCCAGCTTTGAACCCCCAGTGGAATCAGAGATTCCAGCAAGGCCCTTCCAAGGGCTGGGATGCTCAGGCTGGAAGACTTCAGGATTTCCTCATTCCCACAGGGCCAGAACAGCTCTGGGCGTGAGTCTCCAGAGGGAGTTTCCCTGTGGGGAGCAATCTCTTTGATGTGGTCTACTCCAGCAATTCCAGCAATTAGCAGGGAAAGGGAATTAAACCTCGGAATTGTTCTACGGGAGGCAGGTGACGGACACCTGGAATTGTCCCAGGAGAAACAGGAGTGACCCGCGGCCATAACAGCTTCTCCCGTCCCTCCATCCTCTGCCCTAGCCCCCCGTGGGGACCTCAGTGAGGCAAACACCTCAAAACACATCCAGATGAGCCCCTCCAGCCGGTGCTGCCACTGGAATAGCTGAGTTTCCTGGGATTTCATAATGGGAAGTCATCGAGGGTGCTAAAATTCCAGTGACTGGGAATTGCACAAACACTGACGTTGCAGGCACAGAGCAAAGCCACAGTTTGGGGTCCCATTTCAGGGGGGTGGGAATGGTGCTGTCAGAAACTCCTGCACCCAGAAATGGCCCAGGACCAAGAAAACCCGGATCCAAATTACAGAAATTCCCAGGGTGGCAGCAGGAGCCACAGCACAGCCTCAAATCTTGTTGCTTCTTCAGAAATGCCAGAGTCATCCCCAAAACGGGCAGGAATTCATCCTTTTGGTCCATATCCATGGAGATGCTGCTGCACAGGGGGGTTGGTGGATCTGGTACCCCTCCATCTCCATCACTTGAAGTGGTGGGGCCTGCCTGACCTCGGCTCTCTCCTGAGTGGGGGGAACCAAATAAAAATCCCCATAAACCCTTCGCTGCCGTGGTGGGAAATCTCCCACAGCCACGGGGGATTCCTGTGGTGCCCCAGAAACTCCAGTCCCACCCCTGTTCCCCCTGGGAATCTCCACTGTGGAGTCACAGAATATCCTGAGGTGGAAGAGACCCCCAAGGATCATCAAAATTCAATTTCCAGCCTTGCACAGACACCCCACCAATCCCCCCTGTTCCTCCAGTGTGTAACACTCAATAAAAAGAGGCTCCCCAGCCCCTTCTGGTGTCGGTCACCAGCGGCATCTCCTGGCTGGAGTGGAGGGTGGCAACCTCCAGAATCCTTCTGGAGCCCCAGGAGGAATTCAGCCACGGGAATTCAACCGCAGGAGCCGAGCCCACGTGTGGGACCTGCCATGGATGCAGGGCAGCCGAGGAAGTGATGCACGGGAGAGGCATCGTCCGCATCCAGTGAGTCAGGACAAGTGGGATGGAGGAGGAGAGTATGTTTGGTAAATAAACCTATCACCATTCCTTTGGATGCCTCACTTCCCACTCAGGAAAAACGGTATAAAAGTTGGTGGATCTCAGGGTGCTTCATTCGCTCAGCTTTGCCCTGAGGTGTCCGTGGTCAGAGCCGAGAAGGGTAAGTCCAGGTCTGCCCCAGGGAGGGATTCTTCTCTTTCTTTCCTGCTCCCAAAATGCAAAAGTTTTGGTGAAAAACATCTGGTGGAAGGGCAGGGAAGTTGCTGGGGTGAATTTAAATCTCTTGTGGATGCCTTGGTCCTACCAGACCAGACAGAAGCAGGATCAGCCTGTGCTGCTGCAGGTTGTCTCTCATCAGTATTGAGATGGAGATGGAATGGCTTTGGGATAAGGAGATGGGATAACTTTGGGCTAAAAGTCTTTAAAACATGATCCTGGCCACTACAAAGTGGTGTTGAGCTGGACTGGGGTCACAAGCCTCAGGAGAACTGGTGGTTGCTGCCCTGGAGTAAAAAGCTTTTCCTTGCAGGGTCACTGCTCCACGATGTGCTCCAGACAGAGCGGGTGCCACAGCTGTGGCTGCTGCTGCTGCTGCCGGGGCAGCCAACAGTCCCAGGGCTCCTCCAGCGGGGGAGGAGGAGGATCCTGCTGCGGTGGAGGATCCTCCGGAGGATCAGCCCAGAAGATCATTATCAGCTCTGGCGGCGGAGGAGGAGGAGGAGGAGGCTCCTCCGGATGCTGTGGAGGGGGATCCGGTGGCGGTTCTTCAAAGAGCATGATGGGAGGAGGAGGAGGAGGAGGAGGATGCTGTGGTGGAGGCTCCAGTGGTGGCTCCTCAAAGAGCATGATGGGCGGCGGAGGTAGTGGAGGATCCTCTGGATGCTGCGGTGGTGGATCTAGTGGTGGATCTTCTGGGATGAAGATCATAATGGGAGGTGGAGGCGGTGGAGGTTCTTCCGGATGCTGCGGTGGCGGAGGATCTGGTGGTGGCTCCTCAAAGAGCATGATGGGCGGTGGAGGCGGTGGGTGCTGTGGTGGAGGATCTGGTGGTGGCTCCTCAAAGAGCATGATGGGCGGTGGAGGTGGTGGGTGCTGTGGTGGTGGGTCCAGTGGTGGCTCTTCTGGGATGAAGGTCATCATGGGAGGTGGAGGTGGTGGAGGATCCTCCGGATGCTGCGGTGGAGGATCTGGTGGTGGATCTTCAAAGAGCATGATGGGCGGTGGAGGTGGTGGGTGCTGTGGTGGAGGATCTGGTGGCGGCTCTTCTGGGATGAAGATCATCATGGGCGGTGGAGGCGGTGGAGGATCCGGTGGATGCTGTGGTGGAGGATCTGGTGGTGGCTCCTCAAAGAGCATGATGGGTGGTGGAGGCGGTGGGTGCTGTGGTGGAGGATCCGGTGGTGGATCTTCAAAGAGCATGATGGGCGGTGGAGGTGGTGGGTGCTGCGGTGGAGGATCTGGTGGTGGCTCCTCAAAGAGCATGATGGGCGGTGGAGGCGGTGGAGGATCCGGTGGATGCTGTGGTGGAGGATCCGGCGGTGGCAGTGGGGGATCAGCCCAGAAGATCATCATCAGCTCTGGCGGCGGAGGAGGAGGAGGAGGAGGCTCCTCCGGCTGCTGTGGAGGAGGATCCGGTGGTGGCTCTTCAGGAGGGAAGATCATTATGGGAGGTGGAGGCGGTGGTGGATCCTCCGGATGCTGTGGTGGCGGATCGGGCGGCGGCTCCTCGGGCCAGACCATCATCATCAGCTCTGGAGGTGGCGGCGGAGGCTCCTCGCAGCAGAAATGTCCTGTTGTCATCCCCAGCATGGTGCCCCACCAGACCAAGCAGAGCTCCAACTGGCCCTGCCAGCAGAAGTAACACTCTGGCTCCCATCAGGAATGGCCGAGTCTTTGCCCTCCGAGTTTTTCCCCAGCACGTCCCCGTCCCTTGTGTTCCCTTGGTGCTGCATCCCTGTGCTGTGAACTCCCAGGTGGCTCCTCTGTGCCACAAATGTGACGGGAAATAAAGATTTCTGTGCACGGACAGAACTGGTTTGTGAGGTTCTATTCTCCTTTGTCAGTTTGCTTCCCAAAAAAAATGAGTAAAACATCCAAAACATTCTGCAGGGAAATGTTCTCCAGCCTCCGGTGCTGGAGCAGATCTTTCCTGCACCCAACATAATTTTCCCCTCTTTCATCCTGATCCCATTCCCTGTGTCCTGTCCCTGCAGTTCCTGAGGAAAAGTCCCTTTCCAGATTCCCTGGAGCCCCCGCAGATCTCGGAGGGGCTCTGAGGTCTCCACACAACCTCCTCTCCCCCAGGCTGAACATTCCCAACCCTCCCAGCCTGGCTCCACAGGGGAGGGGCTCCTCTTATCACTTTCATGGCCTCCTCTGTACTTGCTCCAACAATTCCATGTCCTTCTTATGCTGGGGACACCAGAACCGGACACAGCATTCCCAGTGGGATCTTACCAGAGCAGAAATACCTCTCCCTCACCATCCTGCCCACCATCCTTTGGATGCAGCCCACAGACAGCTGGCTTTCCTCTCAAATCAGGAAAATCCTCTCAAAAAGGACTCTCAAATTCCTCTTTGGAACTGGTGGGATTAGTCTTGAGTCCGGTAAACTTTAAGCCCAGAGGTTTTTTTTTTTTTTTTCACCTCACAAACACACCTGCTTGGGAGGAAACAAAATTAGGAGTTACAGGGATCATCGGCCATGAAACTCCTGACGGATCACAGCTGAGAGATTCCTGCCTTTTGGAGAAAACTGGACAGATCTTCTCCAGGATCACGGCCCACATTGTCAGCATCACTGTGCCTGAGGGAATCTGGTGGGAAAAGGGATCCAGGGTAGGATCTGGCCAGGGATTTGTCCTCTCTCGTATCAACCACCACCAAGGTGTTTGCAGTGAGGAGATGAAGAGGCACCATGACCCTCCAGCCCTTCCCAAAGGCTCCAGGACTCCAGGAAAAAGGGCCCAGCTGAGCATCACAAAACTGAGAACGTGGCCCTGAAGCATTTTACATCCTCATTTCCCTTTGCCCAACACACGCATCCAAACTTCTCCCAAACCTGGAGAGGTTGTGGCAGTGCCCACCCTGTGCTCCAGCCACACTTTTCCTACACCTCTGGTGACCAAATCCATGGGGTACTGAAACCCTTGAGGGATCACGACTGACAGATTCCTGCCTTTTGGAGAAAACTGGACAGTTCTTAGGCATCCAAACTTCTCCCTAACCTGGAGAGGTTGTGGCAGTGTCCACCCTGTGCTCCAACCACGCTTTTCCTACTCCTCTGGCAAACAAATCCATGGGCTGCAGGGCCAGTACTTCCAGGGGTCCCACCCTGGGCTCTCCACACTCTGTGATCTGCAGGAGCTCCTCTCACCACCCCTCCAAAAACCTCCACGGCCTTTCCACATCCCTGGGTCAGGACGAGCTGCTCACGCTGGGTGTCCCTCTGTGCCAATGAGCTGCTAATCCTGAGTCTGGCTAATCCCGAGTCCTAATCTGGGCAAGTCCCTACAGGTTGAAGGCACGGAAGGGATCAATGTGTTGAGATCCTCAGGAGTACAACACCCACACGCCAGAGCTGGGAGCCAGAACAGCGGCGACACCTCAGATCTGGAGATGAGAACAGAGATAAGGCCATGGGAGGGACTCCAAGGCCAAACAAAGGAAGCCCCTGCACGTGTGTCCCCACTGCTGGTGGCCCTGTCCCCATCCCAAGGGTGTCGTGTGAGTGCTCAAAGTCACGTTCGTGGTGACAGCCGGGACCTGCTGCTGCTGTCACTCGTCCCCACGGCCAAAACCCCTATTAGTCCTTCCTCTACTCAGTGTGCCGGGAGGGCGGATGCTGCTGTCAGGCTCCAAACACGCGTGACACAGAGCTGGTGCTGGGACAGCTGTGCTGACAAACTGTCATCGTCCAGCAGGGAACACAGCCAGGTGACTGCCCTGCTCAGGCGTGCGTGGGGTGGCCACTGAAGACCCTCAGAAATGGGTCCTGCTGAGGTAGAGGGGGTGTTTAATGTCCTAGAGTTCAAGGGTCAGGTCTTGATGGCCTTCAAGTGCAAACTTTGGATTCCAAGGATGGAGGAGGTTGGAACCTTGGAAGGATTCCAAGGTTTTCCCCACTCCAGCCTGGAGACTGAGACCCCTAGAAGCTGGAGCTGAGCACAGATCTCCGTGGAAATCCAACAGCTGCTTCCACTTTGGGGGTCACAAAAGACTGGAGGGAAAAGTCCCCTTTGTCACTGTCACCCTCACAGCGTCCTCTGACACAGATGTGGGCAGCTCCAAAGCAGAAAACTCCATTGGGGTGGCACCTCTGGCCTTTCCCAGCAGGATGGACGTGCTCCTGCTCCCCATCTTGCCAGTCCTTGAGGGAATTCTTAAAATTCTGTGTGACTCTTCTCAAGCACATCCTTTATCCTTGTCCTTCCATCACTCTGTCTCCAACTCACTCCACTCGGCATCTGCTCAGTCCCCACTCTGTCCTGAGCACCCAGGGAGCTCCATCCCAGCAGAAACACATTGGGGCCCCCTCCAAAACAGACCCCAAGATGTCGTTCGCCCCAAAAATTCGGAGCGAGGCTCCCGGAAGGGAATCATTAGGCGGAATTAGCGGCTGCGATACAGAACAGGGCCAATGCGCCTCCTTCGCATCTCCTCTGCTGCAGGTGAGTCAAGGAAGGAGGCAGCCGAGGCCAAGCTCTGTCAATAAATCTCTCAGCATTCCTTAGGGTGTCTCACTTCCCTCGGGAGCGTGGTACAGCCAGTATAAAAGCCCAGCCATCCCAGGGCTCCTCATTCAACCCACACCAAGCATCGCGACGTCCCCACCAGCACCGAAGGTAAGCCCGTGCATACGGAAACTTCTGGAACATCTACGCAGGGAGATCCCTCCATCAGCTTGTCCTTGGGTGTTCTTGGAACTGTGATGGCTCCAAAACCAACTGGAGGTGCCAACAGAGCTCCCTCCCTTAGACAGGGGCGTTGCAGGTGGAGCTCTGAAAGCTGAACTTTGAGCTGCTGAGTCAGTGTGAGACATCCAGAAGGATCCACACCATTTCTGAGGCGTGTCAGAGCGTGCGTGCAAACCTCGGGAAGTGTTCCCAACCTCCCTGCATGCAGAGGGTTCCTGGAACTGTTGTGACCTGCAGAGATCTCCCCGGGATGTCAGGGCAGGTCTCGGGGTGGGAGTTTAAAGTAGGGCTGCAGAAGATGGGACAGCTCCTGGGAACTCTTCCTTCCTGAGCTGGGAAGGCTCAGCTGCATCTCCAAGGTTCTCCTTTCTGACAGCTCCGTTCCTTGCAGGGTCACTGCTCCAAGATGTGCTCCAGACAAAGCTCCGGAGGCTGCCATGGGATGTCCTCCCAGTCCAGTGGGTGCCACAGCTCCTCCAGTTACCAATCCCAAGGCTCCTCCTGCTGCGGGGGCGGAGGGGGCAAAGTCATCATCAGCTCTGGCGGTGGAGGAGGTGGATCCTGCTGCAGCGGGGGCTCCTCTGGATATGGGATGGGAGGGGGATACTGTGGTGGCTCTTCAGGATCAAAGAGCATCATTGGAGGGGGAAGCAGCGGAGGATACTCAGGTTGTGGCATGGGAGGAGGGTACAGTGGTGGCTCTTCAGGATCAAAGAGCATCATTGTAGGTGGAGGTAGTGGAGGTTCCTCTGGGTGCTGCAGTGGAGGATCCAGCTATGGAATGGGTGGAGGATATGGTGGATCTTCAGGATCAAAGAGCATCATTGTAAGTGGAGGTAGTGGAGGCTCCTCTGGATGCTGCAGTGGGGGCTCCTCCAGCTATGGAATGGGTGGAGGATATGGTGGTGGATCTTCAGGATCAAAGACCATCATTGGAGGGGGAAGCAGTGGAGGGTCCTCTGGATGGTGCAGTGGAGGATCCAGCTATGGGATGGGCGGAGGGTACAGTGGTGGATCCTCAGGATCAAAGACCATCATTGTAGGGGGAGGTAGTGGAGGTTCCTCTGGATACTGTGGTGGAGGATCTTCAGGTTATGGCATGGGGGGAGAATGTGGCGGTGTGTCTTCAGGAACCAAGATCATAATGGGAGAGGGAAGCAGTGGAGGTTCCTCTGGGTGCTGCAGTGGAGGATCCAGCTACGGCATGGGTGGAGGATACGGTGGTGGATCTTCAGGATCAAAGAGCATCATTGTAGGTGGAGGTAGTGGAGGTTCCTCTGGATACTGTGGTGGAGGATCTTCAGGCTACGGCATGGGAGGAGGGTACGGTGGTGGCTCTTCAGGATCAAAGACCATCATTGGAGGTGGAGGCAGTGGTGGATCCTCTGGATGCTGCAGTGGAGGATACAGCTATGGCATGGGAGGAGGATACAGCGGTGGCTCCTCAGGCCAGACCATCATCATCAGCTCTGGAGGTGGCGGTGGAGGCTCCTCGCAGCAGAAATGTCCCATTGTCATCCCCAGCGTGGTGTCCCACCAGACCAAGCAGAGCTCCTATTGGCCCTATGGCCAGCAGAAGTAAAAGCCCTGGCCAGCTCCAGTTCTGAGTCCCTCCCATGGCTCCTCCTTGCCTCCAGCCTGGCTCTGCTGCCTGGTCCTTCCCAGCGTGTCCTGTCCTGCCCCTGTTCCCTGGACCCTCATGTGAGATCTCCAGGATTGCCCTGCTGTACCCTGCTCCTGGTGTTGGGGTGCCTTTGATAGTGTTCTGCCACTTTTTACACCCAATAAATGTTACAACTGCTCAAACCTGCACTTTTTTTGGGAATTCATTTCTCTCTTGCACTACCAACCCGCACTTCGTGGTTTTGGGATGTGGAAAAGTCTCTGACGAGATGTTTCACCCCAAAGCCACCTGGTTTATTGTCCCAGAGGTTTTTCACTTTCA